CTAAAGAGGTCAGTAATTTCAATCTCATTCCAAATTATAAAGACAGGATAAATCAGTCTTTGTAAATGAAATTGCATTAATTTATTTCTTTTTGGCTGTTTATAACACTTAAAACATTAAATCACATTTTTCTTTGAATAGGAAAGGCAGTTGTGAAAATAACTGTGATTTCTGATCTGAATTACCGTTTTGGACTGAATATGCTTGCCGCAGACTGAATGCATGCATCATTCTGTGCGTTCTGGCCTTAATTTTTTAATCAGAGAAAAAAATTTTTGGACATGGGCTGTAAGAACCACAATACAGCAGCTGCATATTCCAGACATGTTGTCAGCTCTCTCCCTAAACACATCAAGGCATATGAGCAATTAAATAATTTAGTCAAAGATAGAAGCTTCTGCTAATACCTGGGATTTATGTTTATTACAGCAGCTGCAGTTTTGCATATCTGCTCAGTTTGCTGGCATGCCATGCTTTTATGGAATACCACGAAAAATAAAGATCTCAAGGGAATTTTCTTTTTCTCCTTCCCATAGCAATAACCTTATCCTGTTGGTATCTTTCTTCTGATTACCAAGAAACCTTCTGAAAGGCTCACAGATGTTGTAGTGATGGGAATTACACTGTTTTAAACAAAACCATAGTCCTATCCTGTTCTGTCCACAGCAGCTTTTGTGTGGCTTTTTCCATGTGGGCCTGACTTCTGTGGTGGTTTCTAGAAGGGTTCTTCCTGCACTACTCCACTTTTACTCTGTCTTGTGAGTAGCTGTCAGGACAACCTAATAGTGTTCTCAGCCGTTGCTTCAGTTTGCTAATTTATGGCTTCTTACATGTATTCTTTTAATTTTCACCTTCTTTTTTTAAAGTATCAAACTTCTGTGTTGTATAATGATTTTGATGTTGTCCGCTTTTATCTACATGAGCTTGCATTCCATAGGTGTTGCTCTACACCTTTGCAAATCTGGGCAGTGAGCAGATGAAAACCAGTTTGCTCTGTTCATGGAGTATGTTTTTAGCAGAGCAAAATATGCATTCAAATAAGCAACTCTGAGCTAATAGGGTCCTGCACTCTTCAGTTCTTCATCATATTTTTATAGCTGAAGAATTCTCTCACTGTTTTACATTAGGCCAATCAAAAGAGTTCTTGGCAACAAGGGGCAAAGGGTGTACTTTGTCATTACTGACACAGTTAATTATTGTCATGTTGCAGTCATCATTTTGATGTGTAATCTCAAAAGCCCTTTTACATTAGGGCCTGTGGCTATACAGTTCCTTGCTCTCCAGGAATCAAAAGATGTTGAAACAGAATGAAAGAAATAATAAAAACTTATTTTTATTTTTTAAGGCCTGATCAAAAAATAGAGGATACGGCAGAAACCAATGCTGAGATTCTTGCTCGTCTCACTTCTGCGGTAAGGTCACTGCATCAAAGTTTGTACTGATCATGTTTGAAATATTGTCATGTTTTGGATCTTTCAAATTAAAGACTTAATCTTAGGGAGCAGGTGTTTGTAATGCAAACTACTTTATTCTGTCTGAAGGGAGGAAGCTTTACTGAGGTCTTAGTGTGCAATTCTAAAGCTATTAAAATCGGCCCAAGCAGGGACTGCTGCAGCCTGCTTTCTTGTAATCTGTGCTATTCATGGTCATCATGTGTGAAGACAACGATGGGCTGTGGGACAAAAGGAGAGAAAGGGCCTCCACAGCCCTAGCGTAGATTATCACAAGCTTCTGAGGAGACTCATCTGGGAAGCCTGTGTATTTGGCTTCCCAACTATGTTTAGCCTCAGTAAACTCCATTATAATAAACACCAGCTTATCCTATCTGTGCTAGAAATTGGTGCATCTTGTTTATCTTGTTGTAAGACCATTGTTGTAAGAAGCAGACAGACAGGACTTCAGAAGGTTAATCTAGGTTCACTCTAATCTGTAGGATGGTACAAAGTACATCTTCGGCAAGTTTGCAGGTGATGCAAAACTGGGAGAAATGGTCAATACATCATATGGGTGTGCTGCCATTCAGAGGGACCTTGACAGGCTGGAGAGATGGGCCAACAGGAATCTGATTAAGTTCAACAAAGTGCAGTGCAATGTCCTGCACCTGGGAGGAGTAACCTCATGCTCCTGTAGAGGCTGGGGGCTGACTGAAAAACAGCTTTGAAGAAAAGGATCTGGAGGTCCTGGTGGCCAGCAGGTTGAACATGAACCAGAAATGTGCCCTTATGGCAAAGAAAGCCGACTGCCTCCTGGGCTGCCTTGCTAAAAGTGTTACCCTCAAGCTAAGGGAGGTGGATCATTCCCCTCTACTCAGCATGGGTGTGACACATCTGGAGTGTTGGGTCCATTTCTGAACTCCCAGTACAAAGACATACTGGAGTGTATGCAAATGACCATGAAGATGATCTAGTTGAGTATATGACTTAGAAGGAGAGGCTGAGAGAACTGGGAGTTGAGCTTGAATGTGCATAAATACCTGATGGAAGGGAGTAAAGGAAGATGGACCCAGGCTTTTCTTGGTGATGTCTTGTGAAGCAAGCAGCAGTGGCACAAACTGAAATTTAAGATATTCTACTTAAGAAAAACCTTATTTACTGTGAACTGGATCAAACAGTAGAACAGGTTTTCCAGAGAGGTAGGGGAGTCTCCATCCCTGGAGATGTTTGGAAGTCACCTAGACATGGTCCTGAGAAACCTGCTTTAGCTGACCCAGCTTTTGAACAGGGGTTTGGATCAGATGACCTCCAGAGGTACTTTCCTACCTCAACCGTTCTGTGATTGTATGGTTCTGTGAACACCACACCTAAATCCTGGTAGTAGCAAAGCATGATACAGATTTGGGTACATGAGAAAGTACAGAGATGGTAGGGAACCAAACAGGGTGAATTTGTCATGAAAAAGCATGAGGATAAGAGCTATTTTAAGTAAAACAAATAAAATACTACCTTGAAATTTCTGAAAAATGGAAGGGAAGGAGAATTGATGCTATATTTTTAAAGACAAGTGTCTTCATAAAAGACATTTTGTAATGTGTTTGGAAAGCCAGTGGTTCTCTATGCTGAACCTTATGCAATAATAACTTAAAATCTTGACATTAAAAATTTTGTGGTTTAAAATGTTGCGGTTTGTTTGGTTGGTTTTAATTTTTTATTTTCTCTATATTCAAATCTCTTGTTTTTCTACCTTTTTTCCTTAACTGAAAATGAAAGGAGTTCTCAGAATCTCAGTATCCTCCTTTTTTAGTTCCATAGACAGAAAAAAATAGAAAAACATAAAATACTTTTTGCAAAATTATATCTTTTCAAAACCCCACAAAACTACCAACTCTGTAAGACATTGCCAGTATCCCTCAAAAGCTTCACCTCTCAAAAACAGAAGAATAATAGTTTTTCATCAGTTAAAAAAGGGAAGCACTCAAAAAACCAGAGTGACGTTCTGAGTTTAAGAACTGGAATAAACAGTTGCTGGATACACTTGAGTAAAATGCATATCCTTAAACATATGAGTAGTTGACAGTGAGTTCAGAGTGCATCACATCTAGCTTGCAAGGTCAAACCTTTGAACTACATCCGGAGTGATTCCAGCAGCAGGGCACATGGACCTTTTTTTTTTTCTTTTGTTTTAATGAACCATTTTATTTCTGTAGCTAACTAGCTAAAGAAAAATTAGGCAGTTGCGTCTCCAGATGGCCTGAGACCTATTTCCATGGTGGTGTCAAAAAGACTGATCTTTTCTCCTGCATCTTCTGATTTTCCACAAAACTGTGCAGGGTCTCTGTAACAATTTTCTAGTCTAACCCTGGAGGAAGAACATAAGACCAGAGCAGACTTCTCCAAACATTAACATCAGTGTTTCAACTTCTCCCTCTACACCTCCAGAATATTGTTTTTCCTCCATACAGTAGAGTGGGATATGAGATACTCACTATGTTTCCCAAGGGAATTTGAACCCTCAACTTGCACCACTCAACAGAGGGTTGAACTCACCAGGATACAGGTTCTCAGTTGGTTTTTTTGCTGCCAGCTTCATAATTTGTATGGAAAAAAGAGCCCTGTAAGCAGGAGCTGCAAACCAAAACTGAAGATATTAAGCCATGACTGGAAATGTGTTCACACCATTTTGCTTTTTGGTTCACTGAATGTTTACATATTTTGTACAAAATCAAACCTTGAAGAATTTTCTGAAATAATTCAGAATTATTCTGAAATAATTTAGAATGCTGTTCACATGACTCTTCAAACCAGTTTTTCAGAAGAAGAATCCAAAAACCTCACTTTCAGCACAGCACTAAAGCAGTCAGAGATTAGAGCTGACTTTTTTGTACATTTCTAGGTTTGGAGTTTCAAATCCCATTGATGCTGATAGTGCCACCATCACTTCTGCTTTTCTTTCTGCTTCTCTTTTTGCTTTTCTTGTACTGGAATAAGACATTCTGTGTCAGGTTAGAAGGGAGCTTCTGTTTCAGCTTTTCTTTTTCAGGGATTAAATTCCCAAATTTTCAAACCTAAACTGTGAAGATCCAACCCAAGCAACATCGGATTGTTGTATCTAAAATATGAATCACTGTTTTAGTATCTGAAAGTGCAGGAAAAACTGTAAGCTTGCTTGCACGTAAGGTCTAATTATATATTTCTGTAATGCTGTGAAAGCTATTGCTGTTCCAGAGGGTGGGACTCACCTCCCCTAAATATAAGTGGCCATATGGCAGGTACCTACATCTGAGCTAGCTTCCACTGGCACTCCTTACAGCCAGAGAGCAGAAATAGGAACTTTTAGGATGCTGAATTTTTAATTAATTTTGAATGTCTACTTCAGGGAAAAACAGTCATACCTTAGGCTCCGCTGGTGAGGTATGCACTTTATGAAGGGGTTAGAGAGTGACCAGCGCAGGCACAGGCATCTGTACAAGTTCGGTGAATTCCTCTGTCCACCTCTTTTTCTTTACTGTAGCCTGACTTTCTTCACTAGTTTTTCTCTTATTACTTATTGACTACTGTTTTTTGTTACCAGGTGTTGTTTCTCTTGTAGAGTTCCACTTTTCACATTCACTGAACAATGTGTTTTGTTTGTTTGTTTGTTTTTGGTTGGTTGGTTGTTTTTTTTCCGATGATTCAGCTAGTCAACAACTGATTAATTAGGGAAATGCACTCTTGGTTTTAAACAGTGATTGTGGAGATTGTAGAAGATAATAGCAATAGATAGCTGTGGTGAATGATGCCAAGTCAGAAAAGCAGAGATGCCAAGTCAGAAAAACTCCAGAGGTTTCTTTATAGTCTTAATTTGTGTATAATGTATGGAATACACCTCTTTTAAGGGTAGAGTCAGATACAAAAGACAAGGAACTTGTTGGGGGTCTCACTTGTTCTTAATGCTTCATCCTACGATGGAAGGAGCAGAGCCAGTCAAGATAACTGAATGGAGCCTGTCGAATTGTATACTCATCTCATATGCTCCATTACAATGAGGCACTGACAACACCATCAAACTTAAATTGTAAAGGCAGCTGACATGCAAGAAACGCAAAGTGCCATTTTGCATCAGATAATCTTTTTGGTCATTACCCCTGGGTTTGAAGAAACATTCCAGAGCTGTCATGCATCCCATGTCATGTTCTAAAGAGCAGCTTCATATTCAGTGTGTTGGTTGCTGAAACCAGGGCACAGTGGGATGGCTGTGAGTGCCTCTGCCGCAAAGCTCTTACCTTACCTTGTGGTGGGACAGAAGAGAATATCAGGATGTTAATGCAGTGTATCTGGGAAATATGGTTTTATGGTACTTTAAGATGTCAATCAATACTACTTTTGTTCAAAGTCTGACAAACTATTGTTATTTGAGATGCAAAAAATGGAAACTGGACTCTTTGCTTTTTCAAAACCCTGCTGTTCAGAGCTTTCTGTTGCAGGATTTAATTTTGAGATTCTGTAAGGATTGCCACTGTTTCTCTAGATCTGAAGCCCTGTTTGGCATATTGTCATTTAGAATACTGTTTCACAAAAGAATACTATAGGCAGAAAAAAGAGAGGGCGAAAAATAGGGGTGGTATGCACTGTCTACTAGATTCCCAACTATGCCTTCTATGATAAAATTACCAGATTCAGGGATAAGAGAGGAACAGTATTTGTCATTTACTTTTGAAAAATCTCTACCTCTGTTCTTTGAAGATGAGAAGATTCACCATATAAATATGCCATTTGTATTTAATCAAGCAGAAGTATATGTGGGTACCACTCTGTATGCACACTTGTGCTCTTCCATATTGCAAAAAGCAAACTGATTATGATATGGTAACGTGCCAACAACACACTCAAAACGATCTCTTACAGACTTCCATAATATTTCTGTGAACGCTGTGTGGTAAGCTGGCCTTTAAACTGAATCATTTTTGACATCTGCAACACTACTAAAAATGGGATGCTATTTAGATAGTATTAGCTTTGCAGTGACAAGCTATATGTATAAACAATTTTTAAAAAATTTATTATCTCAATTTATTATGGTATGCATAGCTCTCTTTTGAATGTGTATTTTACTTTGAGTCCACATTATTATCTTCAATGTGATGTGCAACTATCAATTTTGTCAAACACACAGTAACTGAAATCCTATTAGGAAGAAGTATGTTAATGTGTAGAATATGTAGCATGTGTGCAGCAAGGAATTAATGTTGTACACAGTCCTCTATCGGTGTAATGATGCATAGGAATTGTGCGTCCAGCAAAGATGTCAAGTGCACTTACGCTAAAATACACAAAAGCATATAGATTATGAAATCTAGGGACACCAGCAAAATCCAGAAGGATGCTCAGCAGTACCAACTCTGATAGAAGTGAGTCCTACGAGAGGGAGCTCAGACCATGAGGATAAAACCATTTGATGAAAGAACATTTGCTTAATATTAAGACTAGAGGAACATTATTTTTTATCCTGCTTTAACTGAAGGGTTTTGCTCAGATTAAGTAACATGCCAGCTGCATTCCTAGAACACAGCAAACAATGAGGTATTTTGCACAACATAGGCAAAATACAGAAAACCAGCCTTTTTACTGCCTGAGGTGTTAGCACTGTCTTTCAAACTTGAAATGTGTCGACCTATAAGCAAAAGTAACACTGCAAATAGAACTGCAGGATGCCACAATGCTCCATTTTCTTCTGAGGAGTTGGGTTTTTCTTTATAATTACGGAGTGATTTGCATCTTTCAATTGTTTGATTGGGTTAATTGGTATGTTTACAATTGTTGCAGATTGTAGTGTTTCCTAAGGCTAATCTTGAGATAATGCATTTATTAAATGCTAAAAGATAAAGATGAGACATCAGTGCACTGTTTCTACTGTCAGTAACCTGTGAGAATAGACCAGGATCAGGCATCGACATTGGTAACTCCTGCTAAGTTTAATGAAGGAAGAAAGTCTGAGCAGTTTAGCCACAAAAAACATGGTGGTGTTATTCAGAAACAACTTGTTGCCTTTCTTGAAAATCCTACTCTAACTCTGGATAGCTTGTGTGTATTATTACTGGTGTATATTAATTGCTGCAAGCAAGCAAACACAGTTCTCTGTTCTTTCTCATCTTACCTGCAGTTCATGCTTAACTGTGATTAACAGTTCTCCAGACGTGGGAATGACTGTACAGGAAGGAAGGAAGGGAAGGTAATACTGCCAGCTTGCACAATTGTGCTGGAAACAGGATGACATTTAAGAAAACTGTGGCACTGCCTTCGTATTTTCCTGCTTGGAGTGGCAGAAAGCTGTGCCTCTCAGTGGGACAGTATCAAGGAGTAGAAAAGATCCTTGTACCGTGCAGGGACAGCAAAAAAAGCTCCCTGGTCTTTTGCCACAAGGGAAGGAAGGATGCAAGCAGAGGAAGGATGTGGCCTGCGGTATGACTGCCTTCTGCCACAAGTAGAGCATACTGCTGGGTGGCCACTGAGTATCTGATCAGTGGATGCTGGGGTTACTGAGACATGCTGTGTGATTTTTGTCTGTCCTTCTGCTCAGACCAATATAACGTTAGGCATTCTTTTTTTTACATTTTCAAACTTTTCTTCAGACTTGTGAGAGTGGGATGTTGACAGTTGTTAGTAATTGTATTACTTTGGGGATCCTTCATGGGCTTTGTGCCTTGTTCTGATCATAACACGTCTTGTGAATGATGTTTTAAATTGCACACGCTCTCAGAAACTGGATGTCAAAACTCCCACTGCAGAATAGCCTTGAGCTTTGCATGGGTCTGTTAGACAAGATGGCTAGCATGCACTGCAGGGGACTTTGTATGGAGAGGTAAGACAATCCCTTGAAAAACAGTTGGAATATCCTGTAATTCTTTTTAATACTAAAGACAGGCTGTCTTGGGAAAATGAGTGAAATTGGAAGAAGCTGGGAGGTACACAGAAGAGTCTGAGAGCATGGATGAGGCAGAGGAAGGGAAGAACTGAGATGTATGCAGGAGAGAGTGTCTGGGGTGCTGCAGGTCAGGTGCAGGGCACTTGAAGCAGCTGTAATGGCATAGATGATGGCAGTGAGGAAGCATGAAACACAGAAATAATGCATAACACAGAATTTTATGGCTAGAAAAAGGAGCAGACTCATGGAGAGAAGTGGACGTAGAGTTGAGCTGGCTAAAGGGACAGTAGCTGGTCCTGTAGGGATTATAGGGAAAATATGAGGAACTCAGAGACAAGAGGCTGAGGAAGAGAGCTGGCTAGCATGGCAGAGCTGTTTCATCACAGGCTAGTAACTCTGGAAATAAGATAGCTCTTACTTCTGCATGTTCATCTCAAGCTAAATTTTGGTCCTGAAATGCTCAGCCATGCTATTAGGAGAGGTTATTTCCTTCTGAAAGCTCCAAAAAGCAAATGCCAATTACATGAACTTCAGGCAAACCTCAGAATGGAGAACTCAGCCTGGAGTCACACGATAAACCCAGCATTACAGCGTGCTCAGCAGAGGCAAACCAAACATTTAACAAGGAAAGGGAGAAGCTTCAAGTGTGTGCTTGTGAAAGAGATACGCTGTGCAAATATATTACAGGTCTGGCTACTGAATTGTCCACTCCCTAAGGAATGTGCAATATTTACATGAAATTAAAGTTGTGTTTTTTTTTTTTTTTTTTTAAAAAAAAAGAGAGGTTGCTACAAAATTCCCAGATGAATTTGAAGTAGACTTGTGAGGAAAAGTGACTGGAGTTTCAAAAGCAAGTACCTGCATAGTTCCACATGTTGTTCACTGCTCCAAAGGATTGATAGCTGGTATTTTACCACTGTTGCATTTTGTTTTGTTTGACTGTGCTATTAACTATAACCATCCTTTCCTTTCCTGGTATTTTAGGTACAGAGGGAACTGGCTGCTGTAATTGCCTTGAAAGCAAGGAAGTCAGGTGAGTCAGGCTGGACTTTAGACAGGGTTTTGTAATGCTATTCCTTTTTGTCATTTATTGAAGTATTTGAATTGTCGTTGCTGTCTTATTAATATGGGGAAGCAAAAATAGCAAACCTCATTCCTCTGTCATTGGAGAACCTGTGTATATAGCACAATGCAATTACTGTCAAGCTTCACTTCCCCTAGCTCATCACATCTAATGACCTAGCTGATAAAATCGGAGTGTTACAGTTGAATGTGTACTTGGGTCTCTTTCTGGCCAAAATCACTATTTTCTCTGGGCTTGCACTTTGTAAAAGAAGCTTATGTCTTTATTTGACTTACATTTAAGACAAATAAGTTGATCGTTTTCCTATGTTTTCCTTTATGGCCCAGTATCTCAAGCCATCTTCACTGTGTTTCACCAGTCAGGTGTATTTCTTTATGCTGTAGCAAAAGGACAGTGTCATGCAGGAAGGTTTTCTTTCCTGAACACTTGCCTCCACAGCCATACAGATGTATAGACATGTCTGTTATCAGGGCAGTAGGAAGGGAGAGAGAAATGGATAACTGAGTCTTTGACAGTGTAAGCATTTACAGCAAATGTTTGTGATGCAGTGCAAAGGCACTGAAATACGTGTCATCTCAGCTCCATCAGGGTTTGGTAGCACAGCCACTTTCAGAAGGTACCTGCATTGCTGAGCTGGAGTGGAAGCAAGGGAACTATGTTTTCCAGGCACTGCATGGAAACAACCAAAACCTACTTGGCCAGACCTGACTCTATAGAGGCTTAACTCTCTGGTTCCTGTATAGTGCAGTTAATCTGCAGCAAGGACAAGCTGCATGCGGTGAAGTGGGAGTTGCATATATTTCTAGATTAAAACAGAGGTGGAGTTGCCTTAAATTATTGCCATATTCCCAAAGCCATTGAGGTATTTTGGAGGATTTTCATTGAGCATCTCTTGTGATCTTCAGTGATTTGTCTAGAAATTGACATCATGTATCTTGCAGTTTTTGAGCTGTTTTCTGACCTATTAGTAATATTGTGTCATAATATCTCTATCTGTCTATCTGTGGCTTGCAAGTACAGCACAAAAGTTATTACACACAACACACACTGCACACAACTTGAAATCTTAAACTGGACACACCAAGAAGATGTGGCTGGCATATCTGCAAATATTTCCTTGTGAAAATGTAAGTATTACAGAAATATTCTAGACAGACACAGTTTGATGCATTTTGTCTGGAAATAGAAGTACCCATAGATTATATCCACAGTCATCTGTCAGTGTAAATCTGCAGATAGTAAACACAAACGTAAGTGTGAATTCAGACCTAAACTGCTTCTGTGTAATAGCTTTGCTTCTGAAACTGATGCAGTAGTTTATGATGTTAACATCCCTCAGTCGCTTGCCCTTACCTGGTATCACCCCAGTCCCACCTGAATTACAATGGCCGAACATGGAAATGCTTCTGCTCTGGCTCAGTGCAGAGAGCAACAGGCTATTTTAAGGAACGACTCAAGGTAACCTTTTGTTTTGCTGTAAAATGAGCTAAGCATATGGTGCCATGTACCTTTTTCCTTAGTGCTTATACAGTTCTAAGAAATCTCCCTACTTCTCGGAAGTTGTGTTGGCAATTACTACTACTGCTACTGGCAATAAATAAAAACCTTATTCCCCAAAAGACTTGATTTAGCCTGAATTAGTCTTTCATTTCCTTTTGGTGGATGGCTACATAAACAGTTGTGTCAGTAGCAAATGGGATGGGGGTTGGATTAGGAATGAGGGGCAGGAGATGGAAATGGGATAGGAGGGCAGCTCTTGGAGTTTCCTTTATACTAGTGTAATTGCAACCCACAATGAGTAGGTAGAAATATTGTAGTTAAAAATCACAGTCTTAAATAAACAAAGCTCCCTGTATTGCTTTGATGTGCTGACCAGCCTTTCCTAATACGTTAATGTAAACACTTAAAATGTCAATGTAGATCTGAACAAAAGATACCTCTCCAGTCAGTTGAACTAGTGCATGCTTGTTGTTGAAATTTGCATTTCTTTATGCCTCGTCTTGGATGACTGTAAAAAATGGCTACGTGATCAGGCATAACTGTAAGGTCTAATTTAAGTTAATGCCTTTAGTACAGTAAGAGCAGAGTAAATTAAGGTGGTTGATTATGCTTTTTTGTTTTATTGCTGATGGTTAAATTCACAGCGTAGCAGTTACTGTTAGCAATCAAGCCATGGTATGCTGTGCCTGGTGGAGCGTATTTCAGAGAAAAAACTTCTGGAGCTAAAAGCCACAGTATCTTTCAAAGATATTGTTCTTTTAACCCTCTCCAAGACTCTATATAATTCCAGGAAATAAACCAACAAAGATCCAACGAAGAGTTTATTTTGGCATGAACACAGTGGAGCATGGCTATTGGGCTAGCTGCCCTGGGTGGCTTCCAGGCTGGTGTGAATGGCACGGATGCCTGGCTCAACCGCCCTGGGACACGAGTGGGGAGTGCAGGCATTGGGCATGGTCCTAACCTGCTGCTGGAACCTGCCTGCAGTGGGGAAGTGCTTCATCAACTGAAAGATTTCCTGGAGATCAGCAGCCCCAAAACCAAAGCTGTTGTGCAGAAGTTCCTGTACTGTTTTTGATGGTTTGGTGGTTTTTAAATTACAGTGTTTCAAAATACTTCTAGATACCCAGTTAGTGCTACTGGTAAAAGCAAAACCAGAGTATTTTTGCTTAATGCAAGGACTGTGAAATTTGTTCCTGAATTACTTTAATTTCTGGCTATACCTCTGCCCTTAGAGAGGCACTTCACAGTGATTTAATTGTACTAGAAAAACTGGCTGATTAAAGCATTCGTATGACTTGTCTAGGACTGTTGTAGTAATCACTGGGTCACATTGCATGGAAAGTGCTGTGCAAGCACAAAAACACTACAGCTCCCTCTGCAAGAGGTGAAGAGGGTCCAAGCAGGAAGGCTTGCTATGCATGTAGGGGAAGGGGGGAAACATCACCTTTGGTTTGGTTTTGAAACAGTTTGGTTTTGTTTAAATGAAGCTTGGTTGTGAGATATATATATATATATATATGAGAAGAAATAATTGCAACTATTTCAATTCTTGGGCCAGGGTGGCTGTTTCAGAGATTTAGACACTGCATCTACCAACAAAATGCTTTGAAAACCAAGGCAGAGGCCTGAGCCTGCTGTGGGGTAGGGCAGAGTATCAAATGCTTGCTAGTGCAGGATCTGACTTGATGGAGAATGTCAGCTACCAGAAAATAAAAAGTCAACAAGGTGGAGGGGAGAATGCCTTTCCCCAAAAGGTGTTCTTGGGGAAACAAGAAGGGTGGGGTGAGATGGAAGAATAGGAGAAACATATAAAACTGACAGATAGCTGAAGGAAAAATGCAGAACATGAAAAATGAAAAACTTCTGTGCTGTAGAAAAGAGCTCCGTTTTCATATTTCAGATGTATACTCAAGCATACCACTCCAATAGCAAGGCATAAGGACACAGAGAGGTACTTGAGAGCCCTCATGCAGAGGTAACTCAGCAATTTTAGCTTCCTTGCAAATAAAAAAGGGTAAAATGAATGTCTGTAATGCTGAAGCTTTGGTGGACTCCAGTAACACTCCTCACTAGAAAGCACATTTATATTTCATTAGTATAAAGCTCTCATGATAAAGGTGACCTAGGACAGGGAAATGAGCTTGTGCACTTCTCTGTGGCTTATAAAAATGCATTAAAATTGTTCTTGCTTAACCTTAGAAATAAATAGATTAAAATAGATTAAATACTGTCTTATTTGGTTTGGTAAAAGTTTTTGGGGAACCAAGTAGCTGGAGCAGATGAGAACTTTCATTTTAACTGTAGGCACTTGGCATTAGAATTGCTGTGGGGTTTTGTACCTTGCTGCCTTCTCATGACTCCCACAAATGTGCTGAAACATTTCAGAAATGCAGCCTCTCGTCTGAAAGTTTACAAGGGTTGGCATTTACCTCAATTGCTTGTCATGGCTCATGACACGTTTCTTATGTGTTAGAGATAGTAGCTAAAACAAGGATAAAAAGCAGCAAATAGCCTAAGGCTGGGAGCTTTAGCCAGGTAGTGTAGCTACACAGTTCAGCTACATCTGAACTGATCAAAATCTGTCAGGTAGATGCTCTGAACTGGTGTTAGTTCCATCCAGAAACAACACCTTGTATTTCTGTGTGTGAACCCTGCTGCACCCCATGGCATCACCCTTTTATATCTAAAGGAATTTCTATGACTTTATTCATGCAAAGGGCCATTAGTAAGAGCATGGCTCTGGTCCTTGTGTTTCTGAATACAGGGGCTAATAAAATAATAGCTGACAGATTATGGACGAGGTAGGAAGAGGGTGATGGCAGCTTCTCCCCAGGCGTTGCGAGAGCAGTGGTGGGGCTGTGGGAGCTTCTCCCTCCCACTGCCAAAGGGGGGAAAAAAAAGGGGGTTGGGCAAAGCAGCCACAAACACCCTAATACTTGTGTGTGGTTTTGCTTCCTCTTAAGAATGATATTCAGGTTTCCACAATGTAGTTAGATACTTTCTGGTCATACCATTCTTAAATTGACAAGCTCTATTTGAGACTTTGTGGTTTACTTCTACCCTATTTTGAGAGAGACATATGCATATCCATCCTTCCCCTTTTCTTTTGTATTGCTTCTGTCAGGACTTAACTGCCTATGTGATTTGCTTAGTATTTTTATTTTAGGGCAGACGATTCAACATGAAGCAGTCACTGGAGCTTGAGCTTTGCCGACATGAATGAAAAGCAAGCTGTGAACAGCTATTCCTTTTTCTGGCCACTGCGCCACCTCCACAGCACTGCTGTCAGAGCTGATTGCGTGACTCGACTCGAACACACTCCAGGCAATGTCAGCCCGGTTAAAAACATGAGAATAGCCAGGCTGGGTCAGGTTAAAAGTCCATCCAGCTCCGATCCTACTGTGAGTGATGAATAGGGGTTGCTTGGAGCAGAGAAAGAGAGCAAG